CTCCAGCCGGACTTGAACCGTTGACCTTGTCTGTGGGGGCATGGGAGCTTAACCGCTAAGCTATGGGACCCATACCCACCAGAATTTAATTTATATTCAAGAGATATTCATTATTTTGATACATGAATATCTTTAAAAAAATAGGTTACAATTTGATTTTCATTTAAATTAATTATTTTATAAACAGTTGTACAAGTTGGTTGTAATGATTAAAGAGCAATTGATATGTAATGTATAGTATATAAATTTAAAAAAAATTGGTGCAAATGCTAATACTGTAATGAATAAATAAAAAAAATATGTCACAAGTGAATAACAAAACACATCATAATTAAAGGTCATAAACACATATAATATACTCTATTTATTTAAAAATTCATGTTATAAAACCCTCATGATGTGTTGCAATTAAATTGATTTTATTTTTAAATTCTAATATGTGCTAAAAGAGTTTAGAATTTCTTTAATGTTTTAATTCAATTTGAAAAATATTCAAATTTCATATCCATTGTTTAATTACATATAAATAGATTTTTTTGGGTTAGTTTAATAAACATTAACAAAATTTAAGAATTTTTCTTAGTATTTTACATCTATCTTGTAGTCTAATGGTCCATATAAAATGATTTTTATATCATTTAATTCATCTCAATAAGATGAATTGAATAGTACTAAAATTATTCGATTTAGATCAAAGAATCACAAGATATTATCAAAAAACACAAGTATGTCACAATACCTCCCCTATATTAGAATACTCATCACTCCCTTATATGAGAAAAGTCAATAAAAAAAAGACAAATTTTTTAAAAAAAGTTTTCTTAATTTTAAACTTAAATATTTCAATAATTATCTAATAAAATTTAATATATTTTTTAATTTAAATTTTTTTTTTAATGTTAAGGTGAGTACTTGCAACCTAGAAGTTTATTGGTAATCTGTCAGCATATAATTATTATATACAATAGTCACAGAGGCAATTATGGAAAGAGTATACAACTAGCCACTCATACAACTTTAGTTATTGTCTATTTTAAATAACCTACTTGAAGGTTTTACATTAGTTGTCATACCTAGAACTTGCTTATAGGTTTTCTATTTAAATACTCTAGTTTTTATATCTACTCTGCTCTACCAATTGCAGATTAACTGCAAATATATCATAGTTACTAAGTTATATTTAATTTTGTACTAAGTTTACTAAAGCTTTTTGTATTTTATACTTATAGCTAACCTAGTACTATTTTGATCTAAACCATTACTTGTAGTTAGAATTAATTATTAAATTACTATACCCTTGTAAAGTTTATTAGAATTCCAATACTTTTCCTTTTTATCTTTTATCTTTTACTTCTGAACCTATAAGATTTTACAAACTACCAATTTAGATTGTTCAGTATGATATCCTAAGATTTTTTTCCTCTGATAGTTTCCAATAACCTAGTTAATATATGTTTTTCTATATATGTTATTATTTGATCTATTCTAATTATTCTTTTTTAGGACTTTTTGATAGTCCAGTAGTATTATTGAAAGTTTATGCTACCTTTTTATTTAGGATTTTCAAGTAGATTTTTATGTTTCAGTTTCTTAATGTTATACATCTGGTCATCTTATCATAAATTTGTATTGGAGTCTTATGTAATACTAGTTATTAATATTCTTTTATATATATATAATATTATACTTTATATAGATGTTCTGAGTTCCTATTCAAGATAATGTCTCTAAGATTACAGATTATTTCTTTCATCTAACTATTGACAAGATAATTATCATAATATAAATATAATTTTTAAATTTTGTTATTTATAGGATTTGAACACTAGATCTATTACTTGGGAGTTAATAACCTGTCTAGTTTACTAGGTTACTATATCTTTTTTTTTAATTTTATTTATTTTATTTTTTTTAATATTAATAATAAGTTTTTTTAATTTTATATAATTTTAAAATTACAATAAAAAATATTAAATTTTGTTAAATGATTTTTTTTTTTTATATTAAAGACTATACTTTGTGATAATATTTTATTAACTTTTATTGAGTAAGTTTTTACAACTATTTTATACAGAGATAAGAGTACAACTAGTCATACATGCAACTTTTGGTTGTTTATTTATTATAATTACCAAATTATGAGATATTTGTATAATTAGTTATATAGAGAAATACAAACTGGTATTAGATAGTATAAACTCTAAATAAGTTTTTATAATCATAAAAATTTATAAAAATTAAAAAACAAATGTTTATTTAAAAAGACCTAAGCAAAAAGATAATATAGATCTTAGATAGTATTATTGTAAAGACTAATTTTATAAAACAGATACTAATATAAAGAAACTGATAATTAAGAATCTATAAATAAGAAGTATTATCAATCAGATCATCAGAATTGAACTAGAAGAAAAGAATATTAGATTGATCTAATATATTAATTGATTGATTATAATTCTATTAGTTTATCTAAATTAAAAATCTAAAAACAATACAGAATATACTAAAATATTTTATATATATTGTAAAATAATATTGAATTTTATATAAACTCTATAAGGATATAATAGTTTAATAGCTAATCCTAACTCTAAGTGTTAATTTTGTCATAATAATACTAGATTAACTATAAAAATAAGTATAAAAAGCTTTAAAAACTTTACTTTGAAAATAAAATAATTCTAAGATTAAGATGATAACCTGAACATAACCTAATAATATTAATACAAATTGTAGGTTTAAAGAATTTAAAATAAAATATTTAAACAGATATATTAGGTATAACAATTGACAAAAAACCTTTAAATGAACTTCTTAAATAAGTAATATAAAAAAATTATATATGTAATCAATTGTACACTCTTTTTGTAATAGTTTTTTATAAAATACATTATCAAAAAGCATTAATAAAAATCAAAAAAAGCCTCACCATTAATATTAAAAAAAATAAAAATAAAAATAAAAAAACCAAAGAAATCATCTTATTAATAAAAAAAACCCCCAAATATTTGAATCAAATATTTGATTAAATCAAATTCAAATCAATATATATTTAATTTGATCAAATTCAAATCAATATATATTTAATTTGATCAAATTCAAATTGATCCAATATTTGATTTGATTTAAATTTGAAAATTCCTAATAGCATGCTTTTAGTTTAAGATATGCCTTCCTAGACTAGTAATTTGAACTAGTTGGGTTATAATTGGTTAACCAACCCAACCAAAATAAATTTCAAATAAGGTTAAATAAATTCTTAATCAGTTAACCTATACAACTGGTTAAGAATTGGTAATCGGATGGAATAAGCAAGAATGCCAAAAAGTTCTAAAAAGAAATAAATAAACATAAAAGACGAGTAAGATAAAAACAATTTTGAGTAAAGGTCCGAAACTTTCCGAATGTAAAGTAATTTTAACCAGTTGCAATCGGTTGGCGTAAAATATTTCGGTTCGGGTAACCGATTAAGAAAAATAATCTCACTATCCTAGACATATCGAAAAATTTTGTGCCACAATTGAAGCCTAATTTAACAAAACTCGGATCCATTTTTTTTTAAAGATACACGAAAAAAAACCAAAACACTGAACATGTATTTAAATGTATTAACTGTTATACAAGTGTAATGGAAATTTTATTGCATTCTTAACACGAATGTACAATTGCAATTGTGACGTTTTAGTCACGTGATAATCCGGCTTTATTTAAACGACACCTTCATCTAGTAGATCAAATAATTTGTCCTAAGATAATAAAGATTTAAAATAGTTAGTATATTAAACTGTTTAAATTTATAAAGCTCGTGACTTCTTGTATCCTTACTTTGCATAAAATTTCTATATCACTGTATGGTTTATCTTGTTTCACGTGAATAACATCTTTAGTATTTAAAACTAATAATTCAAAGAACAACTTAACAGCATCTCGTCGTTTAGCCTAAATATAAGAGATATCTAATTATTATTATAATCTTAAAATAAGCCTATTAGTATGTATATTAATACTAGTGTCTTACCGTGCCAACGACTGATTCGTAGCTGACAACCACCTGCGCCGGACTTTTTGACTTTCCATTAGGACGATCACTTACTTCTCCACGACATTTATCTCTCAAAAGTCGCATTGCTTTAACCGTATTCTTGCTGTATCCAGATTCATTTCCTGTAGTTTGCTGATCTTGCGGTTCGTCTTGATCAAAGATAGTTATATCATGACTGTGTGATGATTCTAGGAAGCATAATTAACGAGAACAAAAGTATAAGGAGATTTACATAGAAGTTATTTCATTTTACATTTAATAAATATGCAAAAGTTGTACCTCCATCGTCAATGGGACTAGTAACATCTAGTGCATTATCATTTTCATGAGATATCTGTAATTTATGTAATTAAGATTATCACGTTCACATGTCAATACCCAAAATTAAAAGTTATATGTTATTTACCGTGTCGAAATTATTTTCAGCATCATCATGTTCTGATGTTGATTCTACTGGTGTGACCAGGCTTTGCTCGACAACACTTTCTTTATCGGTTTTTTTGTGAGTCTTTTCTCGACCTTTATCCTTCTCTATTTCTTCTATGACAGAACCTTTTGTTGATTCTGAAAAAAAAATTATATTAGACAATAGTTTGTTGCATATAAATTCTATAATTACAGTACCTTGATCAGGAATTGGGCTATTATATGTATTTTGAAAATCTAAATCGTCCTATACCAAATTTTATTTTATTAATAGTTCAACAATAAACATAACCAGTGTCCGATTTTACTTACATATGTATTAGTGTTTTCATGTTCATTAAGTGCCTCGTGTATTGGGTTATCAACTCGGGATGGCCCAGCTTGAACGGCCTCTTCTTGATTATAATCATCAGGGGGCGGTGATGGTGTCATTCTCAGACGTTTTCGAGCAAAAAGATGATGAAATTGCGGCATAAGATTATGCGGAACATTTAAATCAAGGTAATAAGAAGCACCCGTTTGTCTAATCTCTCCAATTCGTAGTAAATTGCGTGATGCTTGAAGAAAAGATGGCTGGAACAAGGAATTCCGATAGTTTTTAATTAAAAAATAAACGCATTTAATAGTGATTTGCATTTGAATACATACCGTAATCAAAATATCGGAAGTATCTCTAATTTGGTCTGCGATATGCCTATTTGGTAATTCTGTTACTTCATCTACGATCAATTTACGTTTTCTGCGGTTTGGTGTTACAGGTTGAATAATTTCATCTTGAAATAGCTCTGGAACTTCTTGTTCAGGACTTCGTGGGGACAATGGAGTGAACCTCATAGTCTCTTCAACCGTTCCGTCTTCTTGATTTTGAAATTCATCCGTGATTGTAATGGTCGGTTTATCAGTTTCTGTATTAATGGTTGTCTCTATAGTTGCGTCAAGATCAACATCCATTTCTAGTGGTCCTGTTTCAAGACCTTCTGATGATGGTCTACCGATATCCAAAGTTGGCATATCTACTGTGTCCTCTAAAAGATTATCATCCAATAAATTATCATCCATCAAATTTAGCTCAGGTCCATCATCTGCTATCATCAATGGATCATCTTCGATGGCATTTTTGCTACTGCCACCAATTACATCTTCTATTGTCATCGACAGCTCAGGTTGTGCATCTCTCGCAATTTCAATTTCAGCAGAACCATCGTTACTTTCGGATCTGGTATCGTGACCAAGCGTCTTCGGATCGAGCTCATCGTCCAAATCAAGATCTAGACCTCGTCCATCTTCTGTGTCGAAAGCATCACCTAGTAAATCATCTCCAATATTTGAAGTTAAAGAAACATCAAAATTATCTCTTATGGTAATGTCTTGGGGTCTGGAGATGTTTGATGAACTAGTAGTTGCAACCGGTGTTATATCGGACCACTGTCTAATTTATCAATTTTTTTATTAGTTAATTATAAAGTTAAGAATATTTAAACAGTTATCGGAGTTTCATTACTTCATATTAAGGCTGGGATCCGGTAATAATATATCAAACTCCGTAATATTATCAGGTAATGTAATAGATTCAAAATTTGCTATTCGTTGTTCTTCAACTAAATCAACTTCACCTGGTCTAAATGCCTTTATACAAAGAAAGATTAATACGTAATCAGATCATTGATATCAGATCTATACTATATAACCGATGAATAATTTAACTACCATTTTAATTTTATGTAAAGCTTCGTTGCAGTCATCAAGCAGATATTTCGCTTTTCTTGAATATATGCGAACAACTCCCAGTAACAATTGTCCTGATAATCGTAGTGCCATTGGTGGTTGGTCTCCACCGAGAATAGCGCCTTAAACAAAATCAAATAAAGTAACTTTTTAATATAATACCAGATAGATTTCTTCGCAGGCAGTAAATCTGTTCAAAAAACTGGAACCCGAACAAGCAAACAGCACACAAAAGTTTATAGCGCTGTACATACCCACAGAAGTCTGTATATTTGTCTGTAAAAATTGTGCTTTACTCAGTTTTCGTTCCCAGTGCGCAGCTAGCCACACTTTCGCCAATGGGCCCTTTAGCAAGTTATACAATTGGTGATAAGTGAAATAGTTTATTATCCTTTAAACTGAAAAAAAAACTGCGTTAAAAAAAACACCTTTTTTGACAAAATAGCCTCCGAATAAAACATTTTGCTTCTAAAAGTAATATAAGTCTAAAAGTAATAGAAAGTAAACGGTGAAAGCGCGAATTGATTTCATGTTTACACACTGCAATAAAACTAAACAAAACGAATATTACGTCACGAGGGGTCAATCTTGTAGTACAAGACAATGTTTCACGAATGCTGAAATGTTTTCTAAAATTACTTCAGGCTTTCAATTGAGCAAAAATATATAATTTTTTAAAAAAAGCGAATTATACTGTATATATGTTTCTATGCAAAGTTATTATATAAAATCATTCAAATAAAATTTATCGGTTATTTAGATATTTGGCTTCGGACGCATAATGCTATGCACTATCTAGTATAATTTACTGTTAACCCTGTCAAGACGAATCATTTAACGACTAATTTCACCAATATAGAGTTTTTTAGGATTCCGAATATGACCAAATGATTTGTAAATTTGGCCTTAAACTGTTTTCTTTTTTTTTTAAATATTAACGGTGAGGCCATGCCTTTAACTTTATTGAAATTCCTTAAACTGTTTTCTAGGCAAGTTTGACTTGAATTGATAGTAGTTAATTCATATGTGCAATGTGATAATACACTGGCAATCATGAATAATGCAACACGTGATTATTTTTATAATAAAACATAGTAACTATTGAAATTTTCACTTATGATGAAAATTTTTTCAATAACAGAATAAATTTCATCAATTGAAGCTTCTAAAAAATATTTTTTAAAATCTTCAAATATGTAATTTATTCTGTTATTAAAAAAATTTTCATCAGAAATGAAAATTTCAATAATTACTGTTTTATTATAAAAATAATTACATGTTGCATTATTTATAATTGCCAGTGTACAGAGGTAGATATGGTGTCTAAAACAAAGCAGAATCACGTAATACTAGGTTTATCAAATTATAGAATTTTGATGAAGCAAAACAAGAAATGAAAACTTAAAAAATTCTAAAACGGCAGTCTAAACCTACCTTGGGTGGATTAATTAGAAATGTTGAAAAGGCAATTTTGCTTATATATAACTATTTAAAACCTAACCTAACCCTAATATAAGATGGCCCTAACCCTAAAGTTAATTCAATAAAAATATATTATAAGAATTTACTTCGCTTTAAGCGTTCTCCTTATTTAGTAAAAGTTAATCTTGCTCCAATCTACGTAATTAAATATCATATTTGACTTGTTTATATCAAGTTGTATATAGGATTATCACTCCAATAAGTCATATATTTAAATTATACTCAATATAGTTTTATATTTACTATAATTTAGTTTTGAAAGCAGAAAAAATATATAAGATTGTTGACTAATCCAAAACAGGCTTTGTACTACTAAAATATAGTTACGTATACTAAATTATAATTATTAGTTAGATCATACAAACTTAATAAATCGGTTTTCATAATCCAGCTAAGTCAAAATTTAAAAAAAAATCCAAGTATACGTACTTTTTAAAAATCCGGATCTGATCCGAAAAACCCAGACCGGATCCAAGTTAGGATATTACACATATGCACTCAAAAAATCTGTGCCAGGTTTTGTTGATCACTGTAATATAGTAAAAATTCTTAAAATTCATTAACGTTAGGATTAGCACTTAGTATAAAGTTAGAGATTAGATAGTTATATAGTAAAAATTACTCAAGGAAACTTTTTTGTTACAGCACTAAAAGTGGTTTTTTATACCAGTTTTTGAGAAATGAGCGATTTTTAACAAAACGAACGTTTGTTTTGAAATTTCCTGATCGTGTTATATTACATCTGATTCTTGAGATCTAATTTGTGGATCAGGACAATGATCGACAAAACCTGGCACAGATTTTTTGAGTGCACCAAAAACAGGGTGCTTAAACCTATTTGTCAACATTAAATTTGTAGATTTATGTATTCTTTATTTAAGAATGACTTTGGTGAAGGGTGAGAGCAACGCTTTACATACATTCTCATTTCTATTATGTTTACACTAATTAATAAAACTCTAAGGTTACATCAATTCAATGGCAAAATAATTTTGTCAAGCATCTATATTTTACATTACTAATTCTGATTCACACATGTTTTCTCATAGGCAGCCAATTCTATGTATAATACAGTAATATATTTTTAAAATAGATAGCATACATTTTATTTTATTTTATTTTTTTTAAGTTAAAGTTCCTATCTTGGGAGTTGCAATGTTTTTATTCAAGTATATTAGAACATGGCATGCCATCAGGGGCTTACCTTACATTGAAGGTTACAACTAGCCATACGTGCACTTTTGGTGCCTAATTTAAGTAGTTTACTTACATATTACTATATAAGTTCTACATTAGTTGCCATATCTGCAAGTCAATTAAGAGTCTTGTTTATTTAAACTTTTTGCATATGCAATTCTCCTTGTATCACAGAAACATCTCAAGGCATTACCCATCCAAGTTCTTGATGCTCATCAGTCTTCTTAGAACTACTTTATCCTCGATAGGAAACTTACTAGAGCCTTTATGTTTCACATATATAGACCTAGTTTTATGCAATATGTTATAGTTACTTAACACTTGCAGTCACAAGGATTACTTGTTTAACTGCTATGTTGTACTATTTCTACTCTTGTAAAGTTCACTAAAACCCTAGTACCCATCTTTCTGGTATCTTCTCTATTATCTTCTACTAGCTGCAACTTAGAACTGTTGGTCTTATTTCAGACTACCAATTCAGATGGCCTAGTATAATATACTTCTGTATTCTTTTCCTCTGACGAACTCAGCGGCCTGGTTGGTTATATGCTCTTCTATATATATTTTGCCATCTAGTTTTAATCTTTAGTTCCTATGAAGGTATTTTATGGGTTTTAACTGGTCCAATGATATTATCGAAAATTTATGCTACCTCTTTATTTAGGAATTTCCAAATAGGTTTTCATTGCCTTGGTTCCTTAGTCTTCTATGCCCAGTAGTCTTATCATAGGCTTGCACCAAAGTCTTATACAATACCAATTGACATTCCTTTATGTATATGTAATGTTACATTTCACTTAAATGCCTAAGCTTCCAAAGTCGGAGGGACCTAACCTGGTATACCTGGATAACAGCTATATGAGGCCAACTGATTGACAGAAAACAGTTACTGTAATACAGATATAATTTCCAAATTTCGTCATAAGTGGGATTTGAATCTTAAACCTGCCACTTGGAAGATAACAACTCAACTACTACACTAGGATCACCATCTTCTGGCATACATTTTATATAATCTTGTTTATTCTGTTTAATTATAAAATCTATTGTTTTATTTTAAAATAATAAAAATTATGTTTTTAGTATATATTGTATAGATAAAAGCAGAAAAGAAAATGTAATATTTGCAGGAAAAAAATAATATAAAATCAAAAAAAGTAAATATATGATTTATAAAAAAATTAAAGTATAGTATAAATAAATCTCAAGACTATTGTAAATATTATAAGAGGATAGTAATCCTAGTATAGTGATTGAGTTGTCATTCTCCAAATGACAGGTCTAAGGTTCAAATTTCACCTATGATGAAATTTGGAAATTATATCTGTAATATGGTAACTGTCTTCTGTCAATTGGTTGGCCTTATGTGGCTGTAACCCAGGTACACCAAGTTAGGTCCTACTGACATTAGGAGCCCAGACATCTATGTAAAGTGTAACATTACATATATATAGAGGAATGCTAACTAGTGTTGAATAAGACTTTGATGCAAACCCATAATAAGACCACTGGGTGTAGAAGACTAAGAAACCAAGATGACAGAAACCTACTTAGAAATTCCTGAACAAAGAGGTAGCATGAACTTTTGACAGTACTATTGGACTGATTGAAGCCTACAAAACACCTTCATAAAAACTGAAAATTAAAACTGGATGACAAATATATATAGAGGAGCATATAACTAACCAGACTGCCAGATTCACTGGAAGAAAAGGATACAGAAGTATACTATATTAGGCTATCTGGATTGGTAGTCTGGAATGAGACTAACAGTTCTGAGTTGTGGCTAATAAGAGATGATAAAGAAGATGCCAGGAAAATAGGTATTGGAGTTTTAGTAAACTTTACAAATATAGAAATAGTGTAATGTAGTAGTTAAACAAATAACCTCTGTAACTGCAAGTGTTAAGTAACTATAGCATGTTGCATAAAACTAGGTCTATATAGATAGGATATAAAGGCTCTAGTAAGTTTCTTGTCAAGAATAAAGTAGTCCTAAAGGTAATAACAAGTATCGAGAACTTGAATGGGTTTAGCCTTAAAATGTTTTCAAGATATAAGAAGGGCTGCATATGCAGAGGGTTTAAATAGGCAAACCCCTAGTTGGCTTGCAGGTATAGCAACTAGTATAGAACTTATATAATAATATATAAGCAGACTACTTAAATTAGGCACCAAAAGTGCACATGTGGCTAGTTGTAATCTTTAATGTATTAGTAGCCCCTAGAGGCATATCATGTCCTATAATACTTGAATAAAAATATCACATCTCTCAAAACAAAGACTTTAAAAAAAAACAAAAAAAAATAAAGTAAATATTATTTAAATATTTAACAAATAAAAAAGTGTAAAACAAATAAAATTAATTTCTTTAAAAAGATGAATGCATTATTTTTTTAGAAAATTATTACTGTATATATTGTTTTTTAAAATTTTCTAAACCTAGTATTAATTTTGATATAATAAAATTTGCAATTATAATAATAAAAAAGCTTTTAAAAATATTTAAATATCAAGTTTAATTAATTATATATAAGTTAATTTAATAATCAATTTGATAATTTAGAGTATTCTTAAGCATTTTAATCAATAAATCAAAAACAAATCTTTAATTAGTTGAAAATTGAATAAAGCAAACAAGTTACTATTTTGATAAATAAAACCTAAAAGTGTAAACTATTTTTTTTATACAGTTGTTCTAATTGGCTAAAACTTAAAATTTACATTTTATATAATAAAATTTTAATTAATTGTTTTTTAATTAATTATATTTATCATTTAA